ACATCCGTGAGTTCTTCCTCCGTTATACGACAACGATAAGACAACACAACGTCTGTTAAATGTTTTAGTGTAACAAAAAGTAATCGTATTCACAGCCGCGCGATCATTTAGGTACCTTAAAATATATTTATTTTTCCAACATAGTCACTTTAAAGGAACAAATGATAATAAATGAAATATATATGATTAACCTATTTTCCCGTGTTGGTTCAGGACAGCTTCAGGAGCTCGGAGACTGGATCGAAATGGAATTTGCAGAAGCGTGCTAGGTTTATATACCCAGTCTACTTAGCATGCGCGAACGAGATTGAACGACATGTTAGGAGGAGGAGCCAAATATACAGGTCATTGCAAAAATACTGTGACGTATAGCCTTAAAATAATGAGTTTAAAACTGAATATTAAATGCGTATTATGTTAATGTTAAAGAAAATAATTATTGTCTTTACCAGTTTTTTCTTTTTCTTCTCAATTTCAATTCGAAATAATTATGTTAGTTATTTCATACCGTAGTTAAATGCCTCACGCACATACAAGTATGATGGTATAAAAAGACCCGCCAACTTGTTATCTAAAGTCAGCGGGGAAAAAAGAATTGGCACATGAAGTGTCTTATAAGGCTTTACCTTTTTCTCGTTGTATATTTATTTACGTTTTATACGTATACTGAAACTACATATGATAAAGAATACATATCATCGTTTGCAGAAGTATGCAACTTGTTTCTATACCCAGTAAAATAAGACAATAGAAATAACCTTCTGCAGTGAAATAATTTTTATTTTACGGTTAAAACGCCCAATAGTTGAGTATAGTTTGTGACGAAAGATGTACTTGTTTTATCTTCCACTTTTTTAAAGGCACATTATACCCAAAAGGATTCATTTTTTAGAAATGTAAGCTTGCTCTTAATCACATTTTCATAATGAAGTTAGAGAAAGTTACATGTTTAACAACTGAAGAAAGTAGCGCTGAACGTGCAGTTATGTTTGGTTAAGGTAGCAAGATGCAAACAAGTTAGTGACTTCCATACAAACATACTAGTCCAATTGCCATCAGGGCCTAAGTAACAAAGGGTACTTCACGTAAGTATATGTCAAATGAGTATTTCTTTCGAAACTGTAATTAGATTCCAAAAACAAAACAAAAAGTTTTTAAGAAATAAAATTGAAAGCATTTCTGAGGCAAAATGGGCCTTTAATTAATTAAGGACAGAACACTTCCGCATGTATATTCTATACGAAAGTCCCTAATTGTATACAAGCCGGTCCGAATCAATAAATGGACTCTTAAGAAACGAATAGAGTTGTATTTGAGCTCAAAATAAACCATTAAATGAGTTGGCCTATATCTTGACATTGTGAATAGAACATACGTATCCCTATTAGTACACTGAAGCTAAATTGTATCATAGTTTGTGGACCTTTCTGTTGAAAATGTGTCAGACTAGCCTGGGATTCAGGCGTTGATATTTTTTGCTTATTCATAACATACGCGCATCATACTCGATCGTCATAGATAACACAACATCTCTGGTTTTGATAGTATCGATTTGCCAAACAGAAGCACATAAAAAATCGACAGACTGGAACCCAGGCTAGTGTCAGACATATACATGCACAGTGCGTTATATTAGTTACCCGCACTCCAGAGCATGCACATGATTAGCTCACTTTGCTGGTGATGACAGGGAAAGGGAAAGCGATAGAAATATCATATCATATCAGATGTTCGTTGATTGGTTACTTTTTTCTGGGGTTTCATATTTTGACAACAGGAAACGTGTTTCTTATTTAAAAAAAATTCTTTAGACTTTATAGAAAATAAATTTCTAACTACCCCCTTTACTTATATGAAATGTTAAATTACAAATAATGCTTGTTGGAACTAACAATATTGATCAATCTTTATTTGAGCATCATATTAAATTTTATGATATAAAACCATAAATAATTGTGTTACAGGATATTTAAAATAATAGTTTGCCGAAATAACGAAGTGTTACTATTCATTTGAAATTCTGCAATTCTATTGGACAAAAATAATTTCAAACACTGAATCTAGTTTTCTTTTTATCACTGAACATGCAAATGTCATGAACATGTCATAACTGGCATACAAGGCACAAATGTATTTGAACATATATTTTGTTTTATAGTAAAGAACTAGATAAAAACTTGTTCAGGATAACGTATAAGTAACATAAAGCTTTTTCATTCTTCCATATAACATTTATTAGAAAAAGATCTAATATAAAATATAAACAAAATAACCTGATTACAATTACATTAACAAAGGCTGTAATGGTAAATATTACCCTACTGTATGTATAGTTTGAACTTTTGAACTTTTCATGCACTGTTTTTAATCATTTTGAAGTATTCTTTTATAGGGATTGAACTTTTCCTGTTTAGAATTTAAAACTGTCTTAATTAGTTTGGAAAATTGTTATATCAACGTACTAATATATGACCTGGACAGAAAATACTGATGTGAAGATAAGCCTTGCTTTATACTGGCGTAAATGTATCCCGGCTCTATACTGATGTGAATGTATCCCGGCTCTATACCGGTGTGAATGTATCCCGGCCCTATATTTGAGTGAATGTATCCCGGCTCTTTACTGGTGTGAATGTATCCCGGCCCTTTATTTGAGTGAATGTATCCCGGTTCTATACTGCTGTGAATGTATCCCGGCTCTATACCGGTGTGAATGTATCCCGGCTCTTTACTGATGTGAATGTATCCGGGCTCTATACTGATGTGAATGTATCCGGGCTCTATACTGGTGTGAATGTATCCCGGCTATATATTTGAGTGAATGTATCCCGGCTCTTTACTGGTGTGAATGTATCCCGGCTCTTTACTGATGTGAATGTATCCGGGCTCTATACTGGTGTTAATGTATCCCGGCTCTTTACCGGAGTGAATGTATCCCGGCTCTATACTAGTATGAATGTATCCCGGCTCTATACTAGTATGAATGTATCCCGGCTCTATACCAGTGTGAATGTATCCCGGCTCTTTACTGATGTGAATGTATCCGGGCTCTATACTGGTGTTAATGTATCCCGGCTCTATACCGGAGTGAATGTACCCCGGCTCTATACTAGTATGAATGTATCCCGGCTCATACTCCAGTGTGAATGTATCCCGGCTCTTTACTTTGCAAACATGTCTATATATAGTCAGTTATTCGTTTGATATAACTTTAAACATTGGGTCTTTGTTTGTTTTGAATATTTCTCAAAAAATCTTTTTTTTCCCATTTTTTATTATGTTGCATCTTTTTTATACATTGTTTATATATTTACAGTTTGTACCAATTATTTTGACTTTTTTTAAAGAACTGTTATGCGTCTTGAACAATATGTGAGCCGTGTCAAGACAAAACCAAAATATGCGTTTGCGACAAGCATGGATCCAGACCAGCCTGCGCATCCGCGCAGTCCGATCAGGATCCATGTTGTTCGCTTACAAACCCTATTACAAGTAGAGAAACTGATAGCGAACAGCAAGGATCCTGATCAGACTGCGCGGATACGCAGGCTGGTCTGGATCCATGCTGGTCGCAAACCCATTATGTTGGTTTTGTCATGACACGGCTCATATATAATATAATAACAATAATGACGTCCATGTGTGACGTCATTGAATCCTGGCCCCGTGTTCACAAAGATTTAAGGATCAGGATCAAGATCAGGATCAAATTTAAAAACCCTAATATTCTTCATTGTGTATCCTCATAAATAAATATCTAATTATAAATTTGATAAAAACTGGACCTGAAATAGCAAGTATATGAAATTTTAGAATTAATTAATTGTTAATTTTGCAAGATATGGGCATTTTACAGTTGATCCAAATATTTATCCTGATCCTAAAATTGATCCTTATTTTTTATCCAAATATGTTTGTATTTGTTTTGTTATTTGTTGATTTTATCTTAAAATAGTTTGTTTTCTTTGCAAATCAGCATATTTTTACAATTTGAATATTTACAATTTAATTCAACAAAACACAAATAATTTTAGTAACATTAAACATTAATGTTAACATTAAACAATGAAAATAAAATCAGGATCACTTGATCCTGATCCTGATCTTTTCTTAGTGAACACGGGGCCTGGTTATGAGTGGTCATTGAATTTATTTATAAACTATTAAATCAAACCGCGTAAAACAGACAGAAAAAAATTAAAGAACAAAATACATTTGAATTAATGTCAAAATAAGCTTAGATAGGCTGGTTAAACATGCTGTTTTTAAATTTCTGCTCCAGTATTTTGTTGAACATTTCATCTTGTGAAACAGTAAATTTACTCCTCCAGTGACCAATTACGCCTGAAAAAGAGAAAATTCAAACTTATACATCTATATACTAAAAATAGATCGTTAATTTAAGTAGTTTGTTTTCTTTATTCTCTTTTAAGATTTTTAAAATTATTGCTCTGTATGTTGTAGGGTTTTTGCCAGTTGACGTATGCCTAAAAACTTCCAATCAAATGAGACGATCCGAAAAGGGGACGTTACTCATCGAAAGATGAATATTCGACAAAGGGAGATTTGCAGCCTTCGAAATAAAAACGATCTATTTTTACTGACAGCCGTGGATTAATGCATCACCATTATTACAGTCTGTTTTTTTGAAATGTTTACTTGATTTAGCTCAACAATGAAAATAATAGCATAATGTCAATTTAAGGATTAAGATAACTATTGTACTGTGAAAGATGAATTAACTGCAGTTGATCATATTGCCACAATGGTTCCAAAGTTTCTGTAAATGTCAACCCATATACGTAGGTTTCGCGTTCCATTTCCTTATTCAGGTTTTAAAATAAAACCACAGTTTCCTAATTACATCATTCAACAAAAATTAAATAACGCAACCCTAAACTACGAACCTTTCCTGGTAAGTTCAGATTGGTCTGGCTGCGCCGGTTGTTCCCCTGTTTTAACATCCACCTTTATTCTCCTCCATGAACATCTATCCAGTATTTGATTTAACCTGTCCTCCGTGTTGGTCACTCCAAGAAATTGCTGCAACTTTTTCAGCTCTCCTAATCCATCCTGTGTTAAGAAAAAACAAAAACAAAAAAGTAAAGCCACTAATTTAACTTAAGAAATATAGTTTTAAGTGCACGCATATACCATATTAATATAAAACGGTAATATAACACGTTAAAATGACACGGTCATATAACACGGTAATATAACGCGGTCATATAACACGGTCATATGACGCATAACATATAACACGGTAATATAACACGTTAAGAAAATAGAATTGTAATACAGTAATAATTATGGCATGGAAATATAGCAAGGTTTGGTAAATGCATTGGTAATATTATATGGATATATAGCACATGTAATATAACATGGAAATATAACACGGTAATGAAGCATGGTAAAATGACATGGTTATACTTATATCACATGTTTATTGACGTGTTTATATAGTACATGCAATGTAGGAAAGTAATACAGCGCTGTTAAGTAGCAAGGTAGTGTGGCATATATCTAAAAATGTGTCCATAGGACACAGGTGTCCCCAAACTCCACTGTTTTGTCAATCTTCTGACTCTAGGTCAAATATTGTTTGGGCCACACGTGACAAGTTGAAAATTGCTAATATTTTACCAAGTATAGGGAAACATTTGTTAATATGTGATGTAAAACGAACTAGGTAATAATGTTATTACACGGACAAATTAATATTTGATAAGATATTCAAATTATGGCAAACAATTTTTTAAAACCGTCTTACTTTGATCAAGTTTTCGTAAAACACAATATGCACATTCAGGTTTGTATTTTGTTCTTGTAAAGATTTCTCCCAACTATTGTAGTAATCAAAGTACGATCCTGTCGGGACTGAAAAACAAAAACAATAAACGCCGGAATCATTTACGCTCTTCTGCAATATACATGGACAGTTCAATTGCAATAGTATTGTTTCCTTTTTTCTCCACAGATACACAAAGGTCCGTGAAATATAAAAATAGTCTACTGTCTACAAAACAGTTAATAAAAACATGTCTGTTCTAATTTCCGTGATAAATGACATAATATGTTTATTTGTGTCAAAGGAAATTTTGATACATGGATCTCATTTAGATGCTAATTATTAAACTGTACACATATTTAAAAAAAATATTTTTAATGATTATTTTTTAAATTAAAGACGTTGGAATATAAAGGATAAGGTTTATGATAAGTATAATCGTTCGCGGTGTTACCTACTTTGTCCTTTGGTCCAGTTATCAAAGAAACAGTCCCAAGATAATTTGCTGAAATTGAAAACCTCATGACGTTTGTAGGTAAAGTGTGACAAACCCTGGTGGGCACCCAGGGTTGGCGAGCAAACAAAATGAATTTTCCCCCGCCCCTTTAAAAAGTTCCCCCGGAAGTTGTTTGGTTTTAGAGAAATAATAGCAAACGCGCGGCTTGGCAGTTGTTCTATTTCTGTTAAAGGATGAAGATCTAATAGTCTTGGGCTCGGCATTAGTTTTTGTTCTACTGGACCTGGTGCCATCAGGAAGTGTACCAAGTTGAACACCCAGTGAGTTCCTAGATACATCGAATAGGAATACATGTTGTATAAATGAGTGAATGAGTTAGAGTGCTCAGGTGCGCGCTACATCTAAACAGGAGAATAAATATGAGCCGCGTCACGACAAAACCAACATAATGGGTTTGCGACCAGTATGGATCCAGACCAGCCTGCGCATTCGCGCAGTATGATCAGGATCCATGCTGTTCGCCTACAAACCCTATTACAAGTAGAGAAACTGAAAGCGAACAGCATGGATCTTGATCAGACTGCGCGGATGCGCAGGCTGGTCTGGATACATGCTGGTCGCAAACGCATTATGTTGGTTTTGTCATAACACGGCTCATATTATTATCATGAAAAATATCATATGATTTTATGCGTATTGCGTTTGTTTCTCTTCTCTTACATTAATATATGTACTGAATAAGAATAAAGTGAAACGTGTTATATTTATTCTAAGTTAGCTCGCTTTGACAAAGTAGCTAATTTATCAAACGTTTTAGAACGTGAATGGAAGTGGAACAATCGACCGATGACCAGGGGAATATTTCTTAACTTTCATTATTTCTAATTATCATTACTTAAATATTGATAATTTGGATTGATGGATGAGTAAAAAGAAAGAAACAAAGAGAAAAACGAATATGATTTTAAATAAGGTAAATCATTAATGAATTAATATATAAAAAAAAACGATTTAAGTAAAATATTTTACCAGTTTTTGGGTAGCTACATATAAGAACATCGCCGTCACGATATTTAAATTCTTTTATATCTTTCATTCTGACATCCGGTTGTATATGCAGGAACTGTTTAGGAAACACCAAATCTTCACATTGTACTGTATCAAACCCGTCACCCTTCTCATCACGTATTTCTACCGTACGCCATTCCATCTGCAACAAGTAAAGTATAGTATATCGACTGTTTTATACCCGGTACTGAATGAGACCCAACACGTTGTAGAAAAAAGTAGTTCTTTTAAATTTTGAAGTCATTTCAAGTTATCCTTGGTAAGACTTTATATATTTTAAATATATTCTTTTTCTAATTGTAAATATGAAGTGGCATTTCTGAGTATTAGTACTTTAAAGTTTGTGTGTGTGTGTGTGTGTGTGTGCGTGTGTGCGTGCGTGTGTGCGTGCGTGCATGCGCGCTCGTGTGTGTGTGTATTTGCAGGACTTCATTTCTGGGCGGAAGGTTTCACGAACTACTATGCACCAAAATATAAAACAGTTGTTATTTGAATTTTTTCATAGTCGGGGCCTCCGTGGCCGAGTGGTTAAGGTCGCTGACTTGAGATCACAGGTCCCTCACTGCTGAAGGTTTGATCCTCACTCGGGTCGAAATCTTTCATGTGAGGAAGCCATCCAACTGGCTTACAGAAGGTCAGTGGTTCTACCCAGGTGCCCGCTCGTGCCTGAAATAATGTCCGGAGGGACACTTGGGGTCTTCCTCCACCAATAAAAGCTAGAAAAGAATGGACGAAAAAATCTCGGCGGGACGCTCTAGGATGGCCCGACTTGAGTGTACGGTCGCCCACATGGGTTTTCCGGCGGCGATCTAAAATAAACGCATTCAAAAAAATTCATAGTGCTTACACAAATTAGAAGCTGCAGAAAAGAGGTCAATGGCTTAATTTTGTGCTAAATTTAAAGTTATAGCCATCAAATGTCTGTACCGGATAAGCTGTGTCCGGGTTGGCTTTACTAAAGAATAAATACGGCTAACATTCGTCTGGCCTTCTCCTAAATTTCCAAAATTTAAATCTTACTTTCAGCGTCATAGTTTATTTTACTTTGTTTTATTTTAAATAGCAACCTTATCATCTTCACACGAGCTACATGGACTGATAGAAGAAGGTTGTTTGGTTGAATGACCAGTAGTGAACTTATCATATGAAATAATTGACCGGGCATTATGAATCAATATAATATGTTCATATTTATATCGAGGTTAAAACATCATTTACTTATGGTTGGTCATCCCTCAGTAAAGTGCTGTTATGATCAATCAATCAATCAATTAATCAACCAATTAATTAATCAGCCAATCAATCAATCAAGCAATCAATCAATTAATCAATCATTCAATCAATCAATCAATAAAACGATCTAAAACTAGGAAATAACTCTTTAATTGCGAAGAAAAAAATAATTTACTGGGAGGTCGGGTCTCCAATTCTAATTCTCCACAGGCCTTCTTATATAATTACGACAGTAAACTTTTGCACGTTTGGAAAATTGTCGTCTGCTAAAAAATGTCGTCTGCTTAATCTTTTAAACTAAATAAAGCAATTGCTGTTTTTACAAAGGCTGTTGAGACATTTCTCAGCATGCCGGGGCTTTAAATTATATCGTTGTTGATGTTTTTTTAAACCTCTCAAGATAACAAATATTACATATACCTATGGTGAATGATTTGGTATACTTTGCGCGTTACGTTGTCGATAGCGACAACACAACCTACATCGTTATCGGCCCTTTTTTGTTTTTGTTTCCCCCCAAACGTGCGTTGTCGCACTGGCCCTCTTGGCCCCTGCGTTAAAAAGCACGCCCAAACGGCGCGTTTGCCCGGGGGCGCGTTTTCGAGATTCCCTGTCCCTGCCCGGTTTATTTAAACCAATCCCCTTTAAATTTTAAACAGAACGACAATTTGCATCGCAAAACAGGGGCCCCAAAGACAAAGTTTCCGTTTGGGGTGGGATCGAAGCAAAAGACAAAAGACGAAAATTAAAGGAAAGCGCCCTCTGCGCTTTGTCCTTTCTGTCACTAGCGACAAACGACGCCCCAAAAGCTTTTCCCAATCAAGGCCCCCATACCCTTTCTCATGCTGTTTTAACTTAAAAATTCTTAACCCAATAAAAGTATAAAAATTCCCCCAAACCCAAATTTTAAAAAACCGTGGGCCCGCTCAAAATCATTTATTACAATTACATTTTTTCATTCGAAGCTCGCATGCAAAACCAGTCACATTGGCTTGGAGTTTTGTCAGGGATTCGTAAAACGTAAAACATGAAAGTTTGTATTCATTTGTATATCTTAATGAACAATGTAGCTAATTATGAACAATTTGCAAATGATAATAAACCAATCAAGATCAATCAAGATAATTAAACATTACTTATAAATCATCAAGTCTTAATTACGTCTGATAACAAACAGTATCTTCTCGGCCCTTTCCGTAACACTTCGGAAAAGGATTCGGCAGAGCTGACAATACGATTAGAGTCTTATAATTAGTTATAAACAAAGTCTATTCTATACAAAAAGTACTTGAATTGTCCAAATTTGTACATTCTGATTCTCATTCAATATTTCAAGTTGGATGTATTACTTTAACCAATTGCGGCTTAGTATTTCATTTTTTAGATTCCCATATCTGGTAAGTTTTAAATAACTTTTTACGATAGGAAAGCTAACAAGAAAAGCGTTGCGTCACAGGGGAAGTTGTGTAATGATTTTGCCCGGTTTTGAATTAAGAACAGTCCATTTAAAAGTTAAGGGATTAAATGAATATGCAGGCTGGTCTGACTACATGGATAAACTAGCTGGTCTGACTACATGAATGAGCAAGCTGGTCTGACTACATGGATGAGCAAACTGGTCTGACTACATGAATGAGCAAGCTGGTCTGACTACATGGATGAGAAAGTTGGTCTGACTACATGGATGAGCAAGCTGGTCTGACAACATGGATATGCAAGCTGGTCTGACTACATGGATATGCAAGCTGGTCTGACTACATGGATGAGAAAGTTGGTATGACTTCATGAATATGGATTTTGGTCTTACTACATGGATAGATGTGCAAGCTGGTCTGACTACATGAATGAGCAAGCTGGTCTGACTCCATTGATATATAAGATGGCCTGACTACATGGATATTTAAGCTGGTTTGACTACATGGATGAGAAAGCTGGTCTGTCTACATGGATGAGCAAGCTGGTCTTATTACATGTATGACCGTGATGGTCTGACTACATGGATGAGCAAGCTGGACCTACAACATGGATGTGTAAGCAGGCTGGTCTGACTACATGGATGCAAAAGGTGGTCTGACTACATGAATGAGCAAGCTGGTCTGACTACATGGATGAGCAAGCTGGTCTGACTACACTGATATGCAAGTTGGTCTGACTACATTGATGTGCAAGCTTGTCTGACAACATGGATATACAAGCTGGTCTGACTACATGGATTTGCAAGCTGGTCTGACTACATGGATGTGTTAGCTGGTCTGGGTCTATACTGGTTAAGTTTATTTAAAACTATACATGTATTAAGGCAGCACGCCTACAGATTCATGTTTAATTTTCGTGAAAATTTTGGAAATGTATTTAAAAGTAAAATATTGTGAGATGAACAAATAAAGTAATTAACATATTGCAATCGGCAACTTACAATCCAAGAAAATTACCAAAACGTGGTCAACATATGCAAAAACAACCCTTAAGTGTTTTAGTAACGGAGTAGAAATATGGTGATAAAGTACTGCATATAACATTTAAAATATATCAATTAGATCTTGAATATTTTTACCTTTATTAAAATATGAGTATAGTTTTCTCAATATTGATTTTCTTGAAATATTTTGCTCATCTGGAGGCTGGTAGCTTAAAAGTATTACAAAGATGAGCGAATAAAACTTTTAACGGCAGCATGAATGACTGAAGCGACGTCCTATATTTTGTCAAGTTCAAACTAGAGGCATATCACGGTGTACAAGTGATATAAAATTTGTAAGTTATGTTTCAGCAAAAAAGGAGATAAATTTGAAAATGTACAAACCTTAGTATATGAATAAAAATCCCAAGAGTTTATTATTTAAAACACAAACATCAGATATTTGCCGCTGACCTAAAACTGTTTGAATTAAACTTTAACTGTATAGATTAGTTATCTATAAAAACTGACAACAGAAATATGAAAACTTGAGGTCATATATAAATACATCATGACTTAAACTGTTATCTGCACGCTCTCGATCAATATACAGTATATATACAGAGCTTTATATCTTCATATAATATAGTGTTATAAATAATTCTAGCATCCTTCATCTCTCGGGATTAAATGGTGAGAAAATTGTATGAACAATATCATTTATGTCACGATATCAAATGAATGTATTGTTATTTGACTTTTTTTCTAAGTGCAATTTGCTTAAGGCTTTAAAAACCGTATATAACCCTTTAAATATAACTTTATGCCGTAAAGAGTCGGAAGAGTTGAAACCGTTACCGTACTGTACATGTTGTCCCGAAAGTACCTACCATATCAGTTGTATAATTATGATTTAAGTGGATTTTCTTACTTCTCGAAATAACGGTCGCATTGTAAATTACACGGTCGCATTGTAAATTACACGGTCGCTTTGTAAATCACACAGTCGCATTGTAAATCACACAGTCGCATTATAAATTACACAGTCGCATTGTAAATTACACAGTCGCATTGTAAATTACACAGTCGCATTATAAATGACACAGTCGCATTGTAAATTAAGCAGTCGCATTGTAAATTACACAGTCGCATTGTCAAATGCTTCTTTCCATTAACTGCCAACAATATTTTGCATTCTCGTGTTAAAATCGCATCTCAGTATAAACGCTTAGACGTGGTGGTTAACAAACTCATATTTTAAGTTGGTACACGTGTACTTTTTATATCCGACAAAGAGAAACTCTTACATAATCATACCAATTGTAAACATTTATTTTGCTGTACCACATTAGTTGGAAGTTAGTTTTGTTCGGCAGTATAAAAGTAATATAGATAAGGTAATTATAATCAATAGACACCATATGTTACCGGAATAAAACAATCTGTGTTAGGTAAATCATGATAATATTGTATTTTATTTGTGATTGATAATATATGTATTTCACTGTACAATTATCTTTTTTTGTATCTAAATTTCAGTGTACAATTATCTTTTTTTGTATCTAAATTTCAGTGTACAGTTATCTTTTTTTATCTAAATTTCAGTGTACTATTTTAACTTTTTAATATATATATATATAATAAACTTATATATATTTTTATAATTAAATTGATTTTTATTTATTTATTTATTTTTTGATACCAGGAAAAGTGAACAGAATTAAACTCTGTCACTAGATGACATTGTTTATGCAAATAAATCAATTTATTATATATACCTATAATATTTTTATGTATAAAGAACTGCCTAACTATTTTCCTTGTTTGGTTCCCGCTCTTACTAAGCGTTTCTGTATCAATACTCCACTGAGCACTTTTCCGGGAATTCGTTTCTATATTTAGTAACGAAATTCCGATGCAAACATATTTTACCGGGTTTTATTATTTTTTATCACCATTTCTAACGTCAAAAGCCCACCATTTCGTCCAAATTTTAAAATGTATTGAATAATAAATATACGAGAGTAACGCTCATGTTATCAGATAGTCTTTGTGATTTTATCTTCCGTCGTCTGCAACTGTTTACATGTATATAGGCCAATGGTAAAACACACCGGAACTTTTTCTTTTTAAAAGTGACAGTCGATTTATTTAATACTGATGTATTAATCCTAACTGAAAAAGGATATTTTGATGTTACTGAACTATCTAATGAATTTTGATGAAAAAAAGACTTTTCAAACCTGGCCAAATAAATAGTGAAGATGCTAGTGAGCAGAGCGTTCACACAACTGACAAAAAAGATAATATAGATGCCAGTGAGTAGAATGTTCACAAAACTGACCAAAAAGACAATGTAGATGCCAGTGAGCAGAATGTTCACACAACTGCCCAAATAGACATAGTATATGCCAGTGGGCAGAATGTTCACACAACTGACCAAATAGACATAGTAAATGCCAGTGAGCAGAATGTTAACACAACTGACCAAATAGACATAGTAAATGCCAGTGAGCAGAATGTTCACACAACTGACCAAAAAGACAATGTAGATGCCAGTGAGCAGAATGTTCACAAAAGTGACAAAACTGACCAAAAAGACAATGTAGATGCCAGTGAGCAGAATGTTCACACAACTGCCCAAATAGACATAGTAAATGCCAGTGGGCAGAATGTTCACAGAACTGACAAAATATACATAGTAAATGCCAGTTAGTAGAATGTTCACACAACTGACCAAATAGACATAGTAAATGCCAGTGAGTAGAATGTTCACACAACTGACCAAATAGACATAGTAAATGCCAGTGAGCAGAATGTTCACACAACTGACCAAAAAGATAATGTAGATGCCAGTGAGCAGAATGTTCACACAACTGACCAAATAGATAATGTGAATGCCAGTTAGCAGAATGTTCACACAACTGACCAAATAGACATAGTAAATGCCAGTGAGCAGAATGTTCATACAACTCACCAAATAGATAATGTAGATGCCAGTTAGCAGAATGTTCACTCAACTGGCCAAATAGATAATGTGAATGCCTGTGAGCAGAATATTCCCACAACCGGCCAATAGATAATGTGAATGCCAGTTAACAGAATGTTCACACAACCGGCCAAATAGATAATGTGAATGCCAGTGAGCAGAATGTTCACACAACCGGCCAAATAGATAATGTGAATGCCACTTAGCAGAATGTTCACACAACTGACCAAATAGACATAGTAAATGCCAGTGAGCAGAATGTTCACACAACTAGCCAAATAGTTAATGTGAATGCCAGTGAGCAGAATGTTCACACAACTGACCAAATAGACATAGTAAATGCCAGTGAGCAGAATGTTCACATAATGTTCTTCAATAAAATTCTAAAAAGGTAAAATTATGCTCGTCCGTATACTGGCTACAAGCTATTTTTCTGTGTTTTCTGAATCTATATTACCCGTTTTAGGCCACTTCAGGCAAATCTAAAACTTCCTGCCTTTGCATAGAAGTTATATATCATATATACAAAATGTATACATGTTCTGCATGCAACAATGAGTGCAGTATTCAGAACCTAAACACATATACAGCGAGTCCATTCTTATTGTTATTAATTGTGACATGTTTCTTCCCGATACTTAAAGTCTTATAAGTGATTAAGCAACATCTATGGTGGCAAAAAGGGGACTTGGATTTTCTTATTTATTACACGCGCACGCGGTAGCTATCACGTGGCGAAGCGATACTATTACGTGCGCACGCAATAAATTGTACGTTCTAAAGTGATAGTTATATTGCCTGCATACTGAACGGGCTTCCTCGCCTAAATAGTTCAACGCCCCGAGTGAGTGTCAAACCTAAAGCGGCCTGGGGCAAGTGGTTTTTAAAACCACTCGGCCACGAAGGCCCTTAAATGATCTAAGGAAGAAAATGAGAAGACTTCGCATTTTGTTTTCATCAGAAATATATAGAATATAAATATATGAAAAAATCGCCATTCTCCGTGAATTGCTGCTTCTAGATCCGTCATTGAAAAAGCACTTACAACGTGCAACGTGCCTAATATAATGCCAAAATTATTGAATATCGGGCCTCATAGAATCGGGCGAGACGCGACATTCCAACAAGACACGAAGCGAGGCACCATATTAAAACACGATATCTCGCAATGTCAAAGTATCTCGTGCCACGAGATTTTACGGTGAAATATTGTGTCCCACTTCATGTTTTGTCGGAATTTCGCTTTTCGTGTCTTTCGGTAAAATATCGCATGTGTTAAATGGCTGCAAAGGACCGACCAGCTGTACATTGAGCCTCATAAAATACTACCTTGACGAATGTATGATTAGATTTGCTCAGTTGTGAAAATTAAACTCTAGATAATATGTTAGCTTTAGAATTTGCTTAATAAATGATATGTTAGCCATCTAGATTTTACCAATATAATTATCATGTTAGCCATCTACACTTTGCCAGAGAAATAATATGTGAGCCATCTGATTTTCCCCAAAAATCTAGGCCTTGAAATACTAGGTAAAACACGCAGGAAATTCTAATCTGATATAACATTTGGTACATCAGTATTGTATTGATAAGAAATGAGCTATTTTACACTATTCGATGATATCAATTATATTACATAATATAAAAATACAGAATCGACTAGTTCACAAAATTTAAGTTTGTGACTGTGAGTTTTAAACAGGAAGGGAACTAGCTCTATAACTATAACTATACAAATCTGATACTCTCCCTTTAAGTATCACTGTAGGATTTTTACAATACAAGTGACGCATTTCACACACACACTTAAGTGATATAGAGCTTTACATCCTGGTATCTTACATACTTCATACATGTCAATATGTACTCTTATCAATATTGATATTAATATTTTAAAGTTCATTTGTTTTAAAGAGCCAACTTAACTAAGAAGCGTACACTATTTTATAATATGCTCCTTCCTTCGCGTTAAATCTAGTATAATAATCATGTTATATTCAATATTATCACGAACAATCGAGAAGTTGAAGCTATTCACATGACAATTACCAAACTTATTTCGAGTTTTTGACCTACAGGGATGTCGCACACTGAAGAAAGTTAAGATATTTTCATTTAACCTAGATGTCTTGAAGCATTTAGAAATTACTATGGGCGCGGTCATTTTAATATAAGGACGCTTTACGGTAAACAAAGTCATTTGAAGCAGACGACAGGAAACAGTATATCTATTATCATTGAAAAACGAAAGAAAATAATGTACCAAATGGCAAAAAATGTTATTCCAAATTATATTTTTTATTTCAAGTATGATATAAATGTCATTATTGTGTTTGAATTATTTCTTTTTTGTCTGTTTTTGACATATAGTGCTCCCCCCTTCAAATCTGACGAGTTCATTAATACACTGTGTTATTAAAGGAAACGGAGCAATAATTTAAACAAGCAAGAATGTCATTTATATCATAGTTGAGATAAAATGTATGATGAGGAATAACATATATGTATTTGTCATATTGAAACTAAAGTTTGCCAGACACTTTTATAATATAAAGCTCCGTGACTGCTTCGTTTTTTAATAATCACAAGTTACTTTTTTCTGTCGTCTGCTTCTAAATGTAGTTACTTTGTTTACTTTAAAATTCCTATATATCAGGACGTATTATCCCATTTAC